TCATTATTTTCCTATCCCTCCTTTTTAAAAGCGTTAATATTAGGCTGCCTGTAATAGCTGGGAAAAAATATAGCATTCCACTGTTCATTCCTTGTATTTCATGACCCCAAAGATATGACATTTCAGGCTTTCTCAAAAGATTTAATTATCTACCCAGTTATAAAACGGCATCACGATAAGGCTTACTAACATTAAATAAGCAAAAGAGGCTTTCAAATCAGCAAGCCATAAAAGCATTCAATTTAAATAAGTAAGCCAAGGAAGCATTTAAGGGGGGACCTATGTCGTTCTACGTCAAAGCAGCGTTATGTGACGTCACAATAGCGACGTTTGTTTTTACCTGTTGACTTTTGCAACTGTGATATAGGCATAACATTGTATACAATCAATAACGTACCCAATTTACAAAAAGAAAGTTTATTTGTCATTAATAACAGTTTTGACTTATGGAGTTTATAATATTAGAATTTTCATTCTTTGGTTGCATGATAATTAATAGCAATTTCAGTTGTGAATAAATACCTCGATGATATGCTGATATATAAGTGCAAAAAGGTAAGATGAAATTCCGCAAAGAAAGCGGCTTAAATCAGGAAAATATGTTTAATTTTATGTTTATCATTAATTGTATTTTCTGGATAAAACTAAAAAAAAAATAAGAAGTACATGTACCTATATTTGCTTAATAATTCATTTATAGTACATGTAGATTTTATTGCGATAAAGTCATTCCTAGGTTCTAATAGGTGTTGGTTGTTGACGGGGAAATAGGGGGGGGGGGGGGTACAGAATGATAGGAATGAATAAGAAAAGAATTAATCTGTTTAAATTGTTTCTAATGAAAACAAAATACTCGTTTTTCGCAAAATAGTTTTATTTTCGGATGTTTGTCAGTGTTTACGTCCCCTTTTTTTTTTTAGTGCAGAAAGGTCAATATTTATGACACAAGCATACGAACATAAAAGAAAACGTCATATTTCTCGTTTATTTTATCATAAAGGTATAGTTTTTTTCTTTGTTAAAAAAAAGAGATAAAACATTTCTTTCAAATAATATGAATTACAACATTTTCACACAAAGACTTTTTAAGATATTACCTGTTATGCATGTCGGAATTGTAAAAAATACGACAAGAAAAACGGGGTGATACTTACATTGTGCTCCATTATAATTTTTCATGCGAGATTAATTACAATAAATTTGCTTTAATTTTAAAGATACAAGTCATATAAATGAAATACCTGTTGATTTTGAATGTGATTTGACATTTTTGGTTCTTTTTGTGCATATTTGGGGTAAAACAATAATGTCTCAAAATAATCTATTTTTAGCATTTCACACTGTTTTTGCACGTGCTCCTGTGTAAAAATAAGCATATAAAGGTATTAGTTTTAATGCCTAAAAATTAAAAGCAAGCGGTCAGGAAAGAAATGTCAAAGTTTTGAAAATTTCACACAAAGACTTTTCGGACATAGGTCCCCCCTTAAATCAGCAATGTAAGGAAGCATTTAAATCAGCAATGTAAGGAAGCATTTAATAACCATTCTCTGTAACCACTTAAACTTCGTTGCCACGCATGGTCACTGATTTTGATGAAACTTCACCCATGCTTAGTACTTGACACCAGAAACAAATATCAACCAAAATTTCGTTGCTATGTGTCTCGGTTGCTATGACAACAGCCGGAAAAGTTTGAAAAATCGAGATTTTCAGCCACTTTAAATCTTGACTGTGGCTTAATAAAAACTAGAAAAAGCAAACAAACCACTCTCACAAAAACACGACACCTTGATGTCACTTATACTGTAAAGAAACTGTTTAGAATATATCTCTAAGTAAGTGGTAACCAAGGGTACATTTGGAATACATTTAAAATGCTGACATATGCTGAAAAACATTCCGTACAAGCTCAAACTCGATCAACGACTTAAGAAAAACAATAAAAATGTTTGACCCTAAGTATATAAGTATAAGCAATATTATTCTATACATAACTTTATGGTTGCCATGGTAACACAGTGTAACCATGCAAAACCAGTAACTAAGATTGGGTTAATGCTACTGTCTTGAGGAAAAACACGAAAATTCAAGACTGGCAAATATGCATCCTTAGGACCTTGCAACACCAAAACAACAAGAGAAATTGGGTATAATTGCTACTTTGCAGTGTTACCATGGAAACAAAGTACCAGTGCTTAAAAGTGAATTATTTTTCGCTGCATTAAGAATTAAATTGCCATTTAATCAAGAAACAAACTAAAGGACTCAGCTTGAATAGTACTTATCTGTTAGAACTAAGTTGAACATCATATATTGATAAAATCTGATGAATAAAACAACACTGTTGCTATGGTTACCAAGCAGGAAAATGTTCGATTTTGTGAACTTTATATCAATATTAAACCTTGGTGCCAACTTCTTGCACCCACTTAGAGATTGGATGATAGTCAAAATCAAAAGTCAAGTTAGCTGTTAATAAATATCAATCATAAAAGTTTTGGGAATCTACATTTAAGGGTACCTATCCAAGGAAACAAAATGTTTTTCAGGTTTTTAGGCATATATGTTCTGCTTATTTCCATAGCAACGCTCTATTTAAAGAATCTAATCTGATTTTTTTCAAATGGGAAAACTTGGAGCACACCAACATCTTGTAAAATTGATCATTAGTTATGAGGAAATGTGCTTTTTATTAAAAGATAGGATCTGATTTAAACATACAGAGTGTTACTTTGAAGGCTCTCTGTGGTATAAAAACCTTGGCAACCATTGTCAACCAAAATGAAATATCATATTTTGTTTTTGGTATATGTTTCAAAGCTCTTTTTTCTATTATTTGGTCACATTTTATCCTATAATTGCTTTTTATTTTTACGTGTATGACTATAAAATTCAATGAATATTTTTTTTACTTTTGAATACTTTTTTACCATAGTAACGTGTGTAATAGTTCATTTACCAAACATGTTTATGATGCATTTGAGACATCTGACCTTCAACTTTTGGAAACAGTCATTGCCAATTGTTTGCCTTGCCGCAAATGTTAACTATGGGGCTCTAAACATGTTCAAAAATGCCATTTTTCGAACTTTAAGACATGTTGCCATGGTAACTATAAAACCTAGGAACCAATTTTTGCCTGATTTCAGTTTAGGGTATCAATGACTTTTATCATAGAGAGTTTGGAGAAATTCTGAGACTATGCGTGCCACAGCTCCTATATAAAATTTCAAATCATTACAAAGAATGGCTCTTAAATCAGCAATGTAAGGAAGCATTTAAATCAACAAGACTCGGAGTATTTCAATTAACAAGCAGCAACATTTAAACATTCAAATCAGTTCTATGCATTGAATCTTTTGAAAAATTGGTGCTAGTGCAATATTGAACAGGTTTATGAGTTTTACGCGTCTTTTCTTTTCTTTTCTTTTTTTTTTTTTTTTTTTTTTTTTGTATCATGACCTTTCAGTTTCCTTGTGTGGCAGATTTATATTCATTTTTAAAAAATGTATTTTTTAAAGCTGAAACTTATGTGGAAGCATCCCGGGGTAGTGTAGATTCTAAATTGTTCAAATCATGATCCCCGGGTGTTTGGCGGGGCCACATTTTGTAGATCTGCCGTTGCTTTAGTTCTTGGCGACGCCAAATATAACCAAGTGAAGAAGGAAAACATAGATTCAGTTTATAAATTTATTATGAAAACAAAAAAGCAATTGCAGATCTACAAATATAAAGAATATAAACCCAAAATGTCATTTTCATAGTTTAAAAAAATAGGGATATCAAAATATTTATTGCCCTTAGTCAAACATTCAATTGCATTATTGGAACAAAAGTCAACTGTTCGGAGCATTTATTTTTTTTTATAGTACATTGTATTTGAAAGATTATTAATTAAAATTAATCGAAAATTAAAATAAAATGGAAATGGGGAATTGTAGACACACACTATCCACACATCCGATGAAATTGTTGAATACTGTTTGTTCAATTAATGAATACCGCAGCTATATATCAAATTGTCTTTTATGTAAGTTTATTGTTTTAATAATCATCGAACTTTTAAAACTTCAAGGCTATGCAAATATTAAATACATGCATTATAAACAGTACAAAGTATAGTGTTCAAGTTCATGTCAATTATTTTTCATAGTGCAGTATAACCTTGCCTAATTTACTAAGTAGAATAACAAAAAAAGTCATTGATTGAGAAATCATTATCGCGCTATGTAATTACTGAAGTTTCCATATGTACAATGTGTTTGATCTCTTATTCGTCTTAGGACTAAAACTATACAGCAACTGTTGTACAGTTTGAGGAAGGGCTCTTTTTCAATTTTGAGATGAAAATCTCATCATCACCCCCTTTTCTTGCATTTCTTTAATATTCGAATGTTGTTTGATTATTCGATCGTCGGTCCATTTGACGGACAGTCGAATAGTCGATTATTCGTTGACATCCCTAAAAAACGTTTCTTTTACAGTTATGAAAAATGCCTGAGCTTATAACTTAGACCTAATAAATAAATTACAATTTAATTTGATATTTTATTCAGATGTAAATATAGACAATACAATTTCTTGGTTTGTTAGTACGGGAATAATTGTCGCAGCTATTGAGAAAAGGATTAACATTTAATTACAAGCAGTTTATATATCTTTCCTGCAACAGTTGCAACATTAATTCCCGTGCTAATAATCAATAAAAGCAAATCGTGTAAATCATACCTGATTTCCATAAAGCATATATTTTTATGATTGTTTACATATTAGAACAAACGGCACAAGTTATTTCTCTCCCTTGAAAATATTATTGACAATGCAATAAACCACACTGAGCTTCTACAAAATAAAATAGGTTGCCTCTTACCCGAGTCACGTATTTTTTCTGGCAACAGCGGCGACATTAGTCCCCATACTAACAACCAAAGAACGCATTTTACAGCTTAGATTAAACAAGTCATATCCTCATATACATATATAGCAATATATTTTATTGGTTACATTTTGGAACAAACGGCACAAGTAAGTTCTCTCCCTAGAACATATGGGGGACATTTCAATGAGCCACATATAGCTTCAACAAAATAAAATAGGTAGCCATTGTAGTTTGCATGGCCACCATGTATGGCTTCTGGTTTCTTGTCTACACATGTGTATGTTGTACCCGCTGCGTGGAGATAATGTCCCGCCATTAGATAACCCTCGTACTCAAGTGACCAACCTTCGTAACAGCTTTTTCTTGCTAAAATGAAATATCACATTCATCTCATAAAGATGTATTACATAACTAAAGCATTTTATAAAAGAAATTATTGCGATGACTGAAGGAAATAAAGGCAAAAATCAAAATAAGTGGTGGATGAATAATCCTCCTGTAAAAGCTGTTTAACACTATCAAAAGTCGAAGTAAAGATTTACAATGATTAATTTCAGCTGATTGGAATATAACTTATTCATAAACTAGTTCTTACGGACTGTTTGGTAATTATATAAATTAAGTAAATACGAATACAATTACTAGTAGACTTATTCTTCCCTGTTTCAACACATAAAGCATGAAACCTGCAGCTAATTGTTAAGGGAAGGTCAGAGTTCACATTCCTGGTACATCGTATTGGAAGTTTAATTGTGACCTCATTGAAATTTAACAAGCCACAAAAATTAATTAACGACATGATATAACAAGTTATATATATATAAATAACAAGTTAAATTTATCTATTTTATCAAATATTTATAAAATCTTGTAAAATTGCAATACTTGATAACAATACAGTAGAGTAATAGAAGAAAGACTTTTGTCAAATATGCCGTCATCAGCCTTGACATGACGCAACACAGGTAACACAAAGGACTAGATTCACTGGTTTAATATATACAAGTATGCTTAAATAAATATGATATCATTGCTAATTTTAAACTTAATCATTAAAACTAAAAATAATAATTTATTAAATACAATTTGTATAGAATATGAATTTATCAAGTAGCATATTGGAGCTACACAGGCCTTTAGATAGCTTAAAAAATTGAGATGTTGAAAAAAAAAATACAGGCAATTTTTTTAAGCTAGCCAAAGGCCTGTGGAGCTGCACAGGGACAAGGAATGTAAGAATATCGCTAAAACATAAGCATATTCGTGATTTACATCAAAAGTGCAAGGACATAGACTGGTTTGTTTGAGTTGAAAAAATGGAATATTAATTTCTTATCTGTGTATAGTGTATATTTTGAAAAGTACTTGGAGCTGATCCCGGTGTGCATAACATTAATTCTATTTATAATAGAATTTAAGCGAAGTTGAAATTTTTCGCTATTATAAGCATTTTCGGCAAAATTTTCAGTACTTCGCAAACAGCACAGACTAGCTCCCACCGCTTTTTGGGGAAATTGAAAATAAACATCTTTTAATGTGTATCAATTTTTTTTCTTGAAAAACAAGCGTATGCCATTGCACTATCCTCATTTCCTACATTCAGCTTAACAATTCTATTTTTATACAAGTCACGTGACAAACAGCTGATACATGCGATATAACTAGTAATAACTACGGCCCTATTCTATCCATAATTAATAGCTATATTACATTTTCTACAAGTATTCAGTTGCTTTGTTACAATTTTTAGAAGAAGTAATACATATAAAAACGGTGCAAAGGTCACGTTTTCCATATCGGTCCTTAACATAGCTGAGAACAAAGGTGGACTTTTGCAAAAGAAAAATTATCAATGAAAAGCACGTCAGACTCTAATTGTAAACTTTTTAAATTTCAGAATAAACAAAACTCAATTTTTCCTATTGTCAACGTTCCTTATTTATATGATATTTCCCACTGTCATTTGCTTATAGAGAATATGTCTTCGAACTTATAAGCTTCTCAGAAACTTCTGAGTGCAATCAATTATCTTATTAAATTAGAAAGGCTAGCCTAACAACGGTGGTTACCAACAAATACGTGCATCACACTCAATCAACAACATGAAAAAAGAAAGGAATTCTAATGAAATTTATATATTAGTATTCTACGACAACGAAATATTAATTTCCAAATGTTTGCATCAAAATGTTCAAACAGCTCTAACAAGCAGAAATGACAAAAATATTTTTTTTCATCAGTGAGTGAGTGAAAGGACACAATTCACACCTAATAAGCATGGAAACGAACGGTAATTAATTTCTTTAGTACTGGAATACATAGTGTGCCTTTTTGCAAGAGGTCCAATGAAGTTTCTCGTTCTGGTATATGGAAATCAAATTCATGTTTAAAAGCCTGTTGCCCATGCAGCTAACATACCAAAACCTGCTTTGCTACAATCCGATTTTAATCTCTTATTGCCCTAAATGCACAACGAACGGCCTCAAATGCTGCTAAAATTAAACTAGAAATTCTTTTATTTCAAGAATATTTATGTACCTACTATTTATATGAAATCTACAGATCTACCACCTTGGTACTTGTATAAGGTTTTCTCACCCGGAAACATTTTTAAAATGGATCTGTTTGGAACAGTACACACAGCACACGGTACATCATGATCGTTCAATGCATTGAAATACGCGTTTTCCTTAAAGTTCGCTGTTTCATACTCTGCTCCATGAATATAACCCTTAATTCCATCAAATCCATCCCTATAGATCCCCCACTCTGGATCCGTCGGTAAGCAAAGAGGATCTACCGCCGCTCCTGGATTTGTATAATGTGATCCTGCGGTATACCCTATAAAAGGAGCAAATCTGCATTTGAAAGTTGTATCAATCATTGATATCTTATTCTTAAACTTTTTTGCTGTATAAATAATTAATTATTTATGCATTAGTTAAAAATAATTCCATCCTCGTTTGATGTCATATTTTTAACATATCTTTTTCACAATGAAAATTTCATTTACCTGAATAGACTAATTTTGCATGTGGAGGACACATACTCTTACCCCATCTGGTATATACAACCTCTCTGTTTCCAATTTCTACAATGAAGAATTTAATATTTCTTTTAAATACATGACAAGAAAAGATAATAAGTAGTGTAGATATTATGGTAGAGTCATACCTCTTTCCTGTATGTTAGTATTCCCTTCGAATACGTGGAGAAGAAAATAGAAAAGAAGATAAAGTTTCATCATCTGCGAAAAAAAAAACAAGAATTTAAAAAAGTTTACACATCGACATGGTAATTGATATATTTATTTTACCAAAAAAAATATGTAGACATTAATTCGAAAATATTTTGGGATTTATTTTTAGACTCTACCTTTGATAGATTGAATCCAACACCTTAAAAACTTTCGACTTTTCAACTTTATACATAACCATTCCCCACGATAAATTAAAGTCCAGGCTTTTTTATACCATTGACAGCTGCTTTATCAATAAAAATGGAACTCGTAAATATATTTATCTGGTCATTGGTCATTTGCAAAATTATTTTGCTCTGAAGTTGACATCAAAGAGATGCTTGAGTTTCTGTTTGAAAATATCTGGTTTTTTGAAGACCAGGTATTCCAACAATGTATTTGAATTCCCATGGGTACCTTATCAGACATATTTTTAAATTCATATGAAGCAGAATTTGTGCAAAATCACATGCCTGAAAAGAAGAAAACACTTGTTGTGGCCTTCAACTCGACATTTAGATATATCGATGACGTATTGTCAATTAACATGGTCATTTCCTTTCCTACGTCGATACGATATATCATGGTGAGCTGAAGATTAAAGATACCACAGACTCTGACACATCTGTTTCATACTTGGATTTTTTACTTGAAAAAGACTTTAAACGGTAATCTTAAAAAACCAAGCTATATGATAAACCTGATGACTTTAACTTTTTAACTTCCCTTATTTATGCAGCAAGCAAGCCTCGCCCTCTATCCCGTTTTCTTACCTGCCCAAATATCGCTTATATTTCAAGACAGTAACCATGTATTTTATATATCTCAGTTGTTTCGATACCTTAAAGCCTGCTCTACGTATGAGCAATTTCTAAAACGAGGTATATTATTGACAAGCAAGTTGACGAAACAAAAAATATCATCAAATCTTGAAGTCATCATTTCGTAAGTTCTATGGTCATACAATGACCTTGTCAGCAAGTACAATTATCATTGAGTCAAATGTTGACTGACGTTGTTCACGCTAATTGTTGGTCCATTATTTATACAGTGAATTGACGACGAATTTTTCCGTTATTTCCTGATCATGACAAGGAGCACACGGCGGGTGTGACCGGTCAGTAAGGAATGCTAACTCCTCTCTCTCTCTCTCTCTCTCTCTCTCTCTCTCTCTCTCTCTCTCTCTCTCTCTCTCTCTCTCTCTCTCTCTCTCTATATATATATATATATATATATATATATGAAATGATGAACATCTGGTGTTAATCTTAGTAATGTATTAATCTTAGTAATGCACAAAAAAGATATGTTAATCAAAATGTAACTTAGCTCTTATCCGGGCCGTTAATCTTTCGGAAACATGAAGATGAGAAAATAAAAAAATATATCATAACTCTATAAATTTCTCTGAGTTAGGTATGATAAACAGACCTCTTCCTCATTGGGGAAAACCCAGCAAAACTCATGCATAATTTACTTATCTAGAAATTCCCAATACATGCATCACAAACTACATACCAGTATACCTTTTGATTATAAGAAATTAAATGTGTTATAACCCCTCGCACATTATAAAGTCTGAACTGACCCAAACCAGGCTATACTCGAATAGTTTAGCCAATAATTAGAGTTATTCCTTAAATATCTATAATAATACATTGTTGAATAATTGTGTTGAATTGATAACACTCAATTGTATTTATTTTGATTTTTTTCATACTCCTATTAATATAATTGATAACTGAAGGAAAATAGAGGTACTGTGAACAATGAGCTCACTAAATGATACTCCCCGCCTCCCATATGGTTATAATGGCAAAGTCCAGTGTCGGATCAAAAAGTAAAAGATGGAGGTGCACAATGGCAATATGTAATAAAGATTCTGTGAAAGTTTCATTAAATTTCACTCAGTGGTATAAGAGGAGTTGCAGATAAGAGATGGGTACCCCAAAGCGTAACAGACAGACAGACGGACGTACATGCAGCTAGACGTACAGACGGATGGACGGACATGGCGATTACTATATACCCTCCCACTTTTCAAGCGGGGGTATAAAAACTTCTTAAACAGAGTTATCCTACATCAAACTCTCATGTGACTCATGGATCTTTTTTGATTTCATTGTTCCTCCATGGCACCTGATCCCACATCTGAGTTTTTCGATGCCAGTGCTTGCTTTCAAAGAAAGTGGCTCCCATCAGCCACGTACCGTACCTCAAATTAAGAGACTCGACACTAATCTAGTGTTTCGGTGGTGTAATATAAACGATTTTTATTTTTTTCAGTGATTTTCAATGAGATACAGTCCGCTATCACCAGGAGGCTTTTGCACATCTGTTATACAGATTATTAAATCAGTCAGGAGGAGAGCATATTATTAAGATTTATTGTGTTTAATATCACAATACCTTATTCGGGAAGGATTGTATTACAGTTCTTTTATTTCGTAGAGTGTGCCGATATTTCAATACTTTCTTATACCTTATCGCACATTTAATATCACATTTCAAATTCCATTGGTAATTTTACATATAAGCAATGATCATCTCCAAAAACTATCTCTTATATTTTCAATCTCTTATGCAAATAATATAAACCAAACTCTACAATATACTAATTTCATTTTTCTCTCAATATTATTACAAGTCAAGATACAAAACTTATCATTTTAAAAAGATTAAAACTTGCAGGTGTAAAAATTTTTACAAATAAGCTAAAACATGAAACTTCAACTTACATTTCGGTATTGAAGAAGGTAATCTTGCAATGATCAGGCAGATGGTCTGTGGGTGTATTAACACAATTATAATAATTGGGGTTTTATCATAAAAGCTAAGTTCTTAAACACCACTTTTTCGGAGTTAATAGCTTTGGTGTAATAAAATTTAATGTAACAGATTTTAGGTCTTTAGCTCACCTTAGCAAAGTTATTGTTTCTATATACCCCAATGAAAAGCAAGGGGCATATA